CCTGTTAGCTAAGGTACTCTATAATTTGTCATCAACCTACTTTTCCATCCTCATGTTTCATTGTATTTGCTGTCACTTTTCAGCTCTCTCTGACTTTTCATGACCCCATTCGGGGTTTTCTTGGCAAAGGTACTGCAGTGGTTTGCCATTTCCTTCTCCAGCTCATTTGACAGATGAGGAAACTGAGGCAAACAGGGTTAAGTGACTTGCTCAGAGTCACACAGCTAGTAAGTGTCTGAGGCCAGACTTGAACTCAGAAAGATGAGTCTTCCTGGCTCCAGGCCCAGTGCTCTATCCATTGTACCTCCTAGTTGCTTATAACTCTGCATTCCAGCCAAACTGGATTACTGGCTTTCCCCACAAATCAACATTCCTGATCCATGCATTTTCACAATTCAGAAACACAGAATCAAAGAATCTGGGAGTCTGAAGAGACTTCAGCAGCCACCTAGTCTGACTCATATTCAAAAGTCATCCCCACTACAACATACCTGACAAGTGATCACCCATTGTCTACTTGAAGACCTCTAAGGAGAGGGAACCCACCACCTCTAGAAGCTGACCATTCCATTTTGGGAGCTAAATGGAGCACTATACAGAGTGCTGGGCCTAGAATCAGGATGACCTGAGTTTAAATCCAGCCTCAGACCCCCACTAGCGGTGTGACCCAGGGCAAGTCACTTAACCTCTGCCTCCTTCGGTTTCCTCAAACCTGGAGATGATAATAATAGCACCTACCTCCCAGGGCTGTTATGAGAATCAAATGAGATAATATTTGCAAAGTGCTTTGCATGGTACTTGGCACACAATAGGCGCTTAATAAATGCTTATTCCTTTCCCTTCCTCCCATCCCATTGTTAGGCATTTTTTCTGGAACATCCTAAATTTGTCTCTTTGCAACTTCTACATATTGTTTCTGGTTCAGCCTTCATCCACCAAATAACAAATCTAATCCTTCTCCCACAGGGAAGCCCCTCAAATACTGGAAGACAACTATCATGTCCCCCCTAAGTTTTTTCTCCACACTAAAGATGCCCAGTCCCTTCAGCTGATCCTCATATGTCATGGACTCAAGGCCTTCACCATCCTGGTTGCCCTTTTCTTAATATTTTCCTGTTTACCAATGTCCTTAAGCCATGGTGCTTAGAACTAAACATAACCCAATTAATGAGGTATGAAGATGGCAGAGTACAGGGTAACTAGTTGACTAACTAACCCTCCTAAAACCCAAGTTTGCATTAGCTTTTTTAGATGTCAAACCAAATCGACTCATATTGAACATGAAGTCCACTAAAACTCTTGGATCTTTCTTGGAACCATTGCTGTCTAGCCTTGTTCCCTCTACCTTGTACTTGTGAAGGTTTTGGCTTGAGTTTTTTGGTGGGGGGGGGTTGGGATTTTGGGTACCTAAGTACAAGACTTTATATTTGTCCCTATTCAATTTATCTTTCTAGATCAAGCCCAATTCTCTCTAGCGGTGGGGAACCTGTGGTCTGTCAAGATCCTTGTGGATCCTTTTAGATCTTAACCCTGTCATTTACTGTTAGCTATCTCCCCCTCGCCATCCCTCTGATGAGATATCATCTATGCCTTTATTCAAGTCACCAATAAAAATGTTAAATCTCACAGGGTCAAGCGCAGATCCCTAAGGTACTACATTTGCAACTTCCTGCCTGTGTTGACTTTGAATCATGACCAACTACTCCTTCATTCTGGCCGTCCAGCTAGCTCCAAATCCATCTGACTGTATTAATGTCTAGTCAACTCTACTCCACAAGAATACTATGAGATAGTTTATTGAAAGCTTTGATAAGACCTAGGTAAACTATATCTACAGCATTCCTCTTATCTACTAGTTTGGTAAATCTACATTAAAAAAAGGAAACGGGTTTAATCAAGTATTACCTTTTCTTTTTCTTTTCTTTCTTTCTTTCTTTCTTTCTTTTTTTTTTGGAGGCAATCAGGGTTAAGTGACTTGCCCAGGGTCATACCTAGCTGCCCCTGGTATGACCTGTTCTTGATGAAGAACCATTTCCCTTTCTAGATGTTCAGCAACCATCCTCTTTAAGGAGAATCTTTTAGGATTTTCCCAGGAATCAAAATCAAGCTTACGTAACTTTTAGGATTTTCCCAGGAATCAAAATCAAGCTTACATAACTATAGCTTGAAGACTGTTGTCTTCCCCTCTTTTCCCCCTACTCTATCATCCCTTTTTCCTTCCCCATCTTCTTCTCCTTCCCCCCTCATTCCCTCTTTCCCCCATTTCTTCTCTCCCATCTTCTCTCCCCACACTCCCTCATGCCATCCTTCCTCATCTCTGCCTCTCACAATCTCCCTTTTCTTTGAGGCTCACCTTAGGTGCTGTCTCCTCTGTGAAGCCTTCCCTGATCCCCTCCAATCGTTCATCATATTCCTTCCTATTTTACTTCTTTTTCTACATGTTCTGCCTCCAGACACCTACTACCTTGGGTGACCACGAACAGACCAGGTCACCTTTCTGAGTTTCATCTCTCTAATTGTAAAATGGGGACAACACCCATACCACCTACCTAACACGGTTCTTGAGAATATTTTTTTTAAACCTATTTGATCTGCAAACTGTAAAACACTATGTAAGTGTCAGCCATTATAATACGTATGTTGTATTCCTCAATAGAATGTAAATGTCAGGAAAATAGATACTATTCTTTTATCTTCATATGACTTGCGCATAGTAGTTGCTGTTGCTGTGTGACTTTGGTCAAACTATTTCCCTTCCTCTGGGCCTCAGTTTCTCCATCTATAAAACTAGGAGGTCGAGCTAAAATATCTCCAACATTCCTTTTAGATGATATTCTATGTTTTAAAGCCCTTTCCAGCTCTGACATTCCATGGTTTGATCTCTTATAAGGCATGCTGGGTTCCAAGAGAACCTCTGAAATACCATGAGAATGGCAGCACATAGCTGAAGAGTTGATTTTCAAGTGTGAGTCCCCCTGCCCCCTCCCCCACCCCGGCACCAATCAGCAGCTTTTTTTAGGCTTGCTATATATGGCCATGGCAGGAAGGAATGTTGCCCTAACCAGCTGGTAACAAGCCTTGGGATCAGAGTTTTCCCTCAACTCTGTGTGCACCTACAGGATCTCACAGGGCAACATTCTGGACCACTGTTCAAATATAGGGCCCAAAGGATAACTGCTGAAGGACAGGTAACAGCGATGGAAGAAGAAATGACTGGGTGGCCCAACCTATAGACCTAGTCACTGAGAAGGCATGGCGATGTTTTCTGAATTCTCAGATAGTTTATAGACACAAGGAATAGAGTGGGGAGAATAGTTGTATTTTTCTACATAGGATGGAACTTGGAACACCTGAGTTCCAAGTTCCACTAAAACTCTTGGATCTTTCTTGGAACCATTGCTGTCTAGCCTTGTTCCCTCTACCGTGTACTTGTGAGATTTTGGCTTGAGTTTTTTTTGGGGGGGTTGGGATTTTGGGTACCTAAGTACAAGACTTTACATTTGTCCCTATTCAATTTATCTTTCTAGATCAAGCCCAATTCTCTCTAGTGGTGGGGAACCTGTGGTCTGTCAAGATCCTTGTGGATCCTTTTAGATCTTAACCCTGTCATTTACTGTTAGCTATCTCCCCCTCGCCAGGGCTGAGTTCCAGCCCTGGCTCCATCATTACTTGGACTGATGACTATGGACAAGTCACATTCTCTCTCTGAGCTATTTCCTTATCTCTAAAATGGAGATATTTACACTGTTTGCCTCACAAGGTTATTGTAAGGATCAAAGAAGGGTGATGGGAATGCACGTTGTAAAGTGTGCATGATTGGTTGACTAAACTGTAAAGTGTTACATACATGGGAGTCATGAACATCAATCTTATCTGCCCAAACAGACTGAACTTATGTTTTGAAGAGACTGCCTTAAATATCTCTTTATTCCTTATAGTGTTGAGTACAGGGTCAGACACAACAGGAGCTTAATAATGATGGATTGATGGATTGGTAATAGAAATAAGATGTTTCTCAAAACAGATGGATCTAACTTTACACATATCACATAATACTTTATTTAAGCCAAGGTGGTACCATTAGTATACAGCCTACTCTCTCCTTGGTAAAGGAAACAGTAAAATGTAGTGGCTGGAAGTCTCTTGTTGAACACCCACTTCTCAATGAACATATTCTGAATTTATCACACTTTACAGACACCTAGGCTCATTGTTACTCTCTTGCTGCACAATACCCCCGAGTCAATGAAGTGCCCCACACATCCATACTCATACAATATGTGGGTATAAACACAGAGTACATCTATCAATTAGCAAGTATACCTCCTCCCTGAAAATGCAAGTCCATATTTAGTAACAAGGCTACTTGCATACTCAGTCACATTATTAAGTCAACTTTTGATTATCTAGAGCAAAATTTTCATGCTAGACCTGCTTCCCCTTGCCTTGTTCCACACTCACAGAAAGCAGAAGGTGGAGAGTGGTTCATTGTGTGCTCCTAGGATGCAAACTATTTTAAATGTTAGCCTATAGAAAGCAAGTCTGGTACCAAAAAATATATCATACATTCTAAAGCCAAAGAAACATTTTAAAAATTCTAATGCTTTTGAATCATCCATACCACTTCCTCTTTCTGCTAGAGTAAATTATCATAGCATCAGAGCTAGAGAAGGGACTTTAGGAACCACCTGGTCCAACCCCCTCAACTGAGGCTCAAAATTGGGACACAAAAAGAGGAAGTATCTTGCCCAAAGAGACACAGTCAGTGGTAGAGTTAGAACTGGAACCCAGGTCTCCTGATTCCTGTCTATTTCTCTTTATCACACCCTACCACCTATAAGGGCAATTAATGCTTTATGCACAGAATATATGCGCAAGTTGCCTCAATTTGACATATTCCAAAGCCTCTCTTTGTCTTCCAGGTCAAACATTCTCTATTCCGTTTTCCCCTTCCCTTTCATATTTTCTCTGTTGCTCTGCTGGCCGCAGGTCCAACATACCTCCATCTGCATAGGTCTCAGTGCCATAGCCATCCTGAAGTCCGTTATTCCAAGTGCCTTCATACTTGGCTCCACTGCTTGAGCTCTGCCGGGTACCATAGCGCCCCTTGAAGCCGTGAGTCCACTCACCCTTGTACAGCCAGCGCCCCTTGGTCTCTATCCCCAGCCCATGCCTCTTGCCTTGGCACCAGTAACCCTCATAGGTGTTGCCGCTGGGCCAGGTATAGATGCCCACCACTTCAAAGCCAAAGTTCCAGGAACCAGAATACTCGCCCTGTCCCTTGGGTCCTGTGCAGAGCCCATGCCCGTGGGCCTTGCCATCTTGCCAGCCCCCACAGTATGCACCACCATCATCAAAGTCAAAGCGGCCTCCACTCATCTCATCGTAGCCCCCGGCTTCCTCTCCGCCCTCCAGCTCAAGCCTGGGGGGGAGCCCCAGGGCTCCACCCCCCAGCCCCTTTCCAGTCCTGGCTCAGGGCTGTACCTTCACACTTAGGATGCGGCTCCAATGTGGTATGAACATGATCTTGCCCAGGTCTGAAGTCCAGAGAACCAAGGTGTAGGTAGTGTGTGTCTGTCTGTAAATGACAGGCAGAGAGGACCCCCAACGCTCACTCAAGAATCACTCTGAGGGAGCAGAGGAACTGTTGCTTCTAAGACAAACAGGCAGAAAAGATTTCACATCCCTCAACACATTCCTCAAAGTGTAACTCCAGAGGCAGTTGTAGGGAGGACTGGAAAAGTTGCATGGTCCCTTTAAGAAACCTCACTGGGGAGGTTACTGGGGAAAGAAAGGATAGGGGTGAAGACTCTTTAACCAGTTCCAGTAAGGGGGAAATCCCCCTCTGAGCGCCCGGGACTGTACTGAGTTCCCCAAGGCAAGGCTATCACTCCAAATGCTCAGCTGGCTCCTTTCGCAGTTCTGGTGGGTGTGTGGGGTCTGCCTGTCTCTCTTCTGCAGCCCCCGCCCCCTTCTCCTGATCCTGCCCTCCTCCTCTGGTGGAAAGGTCAGTGCTACCCTAACAAGGTTTTCAGATCCGAGGAGCTGTTCCCAAAATAACCCTATAGCCCAACCTCCCTGGGCCCCTCAAATGAGGTAGGTAAAAGTCCCTCCTTCCCCTTAAGTTAGCTGGGGGGGGGGGGGTGGGGGGGGGGGGGGGGGCGGGGAGGCTAAGGGGGGTAGGGAAGGAAAGGAGGGGAGGGAATGGGAAGGCATGTGTTTGAAATCAGGAGCCAGAGCTTCAGACCAGGGAGTGGCTGCAAGGGGAGGAGAGGGTGGGGATGGGTATCTGTCTTGGCAGTTTTTGCCTTGTCTTCCCACTGGCATATATCTAGCATACCTCTGAGTCTGGGGTTGGGGAGGTGGGGAGTATAAAGAAGTTTCAGAAAAAGGGAGGGAAGAAAAAAGCAAAATACTTAAATCAAGGAAAACTTTAAAGTGATGAGAGCCCTGGGGGAAACACTCAGACCCTGCTCCCATCACCTCTGCAGTCTACTCACTCCCTAAAACAGGACCTCCATGCCAAACCCTGACCAATCTGTTACAGGAACCCACTGGTATAAAGTACAAATCTTCCCCTAAAAGGCATGAGGAATGTTTTTTCTAATTCTGTTTGCTTCTGGAAGAATGCACTAGGAAGAGGCTGGGTTAAAGGCACAGTCTAGATGAGGTATGAGACACCTGATCCACTCCCCACTTGCCTCCCCTTCACCCTCTACTCTCCTCAAACCCAACAGACACTTCAGGAACACTGGGGAACAGTGGACAACAGAGCCCTAAACATATGGCACTCCTTCCCTGCTCTGGAAGCAGTAGCATACACGCTCACAGCATACACACACACACACATATATATATACACATATGTGTGTGCATATATATATATATATTTCTGAAATGGAAAAGGAGCCCTATATACCTTTGCTTCAGTCTCCACTATGTTCTACCATCACTGAAGTCCTTATATACCATAGGACATACACGCCCTTTCCACCTGGACCCCCTCCCTGGCATTTCTAGTGAATGTACTGCCAGAGAACCTCCCCTCTCCATCTCTCCTGTCCCAAACCTCCTTTCAGAAAGCTGTTGGGCAAATGGCCTGAGTGGATTCAGACCAATGAATCTTCTTTCTGATGTGCAGTGCCAAGATCTGGACTATCTCAGCAGACCCCTGGGGCTAGAAGGGCTGCAGAGGTACTTCTTGGGAAAGTGGAGGCGTGGGAATAAGGAAGCATTCAGGAATCAGGGTATGGGAACATTGCCAAGAAAGATGCAAAGGAGGAAACTACTGCGCTAGTTACCCAACAGCTATATTCAGTTCCACATCCCTCTGTTATAGGGATAGCTCAGCCTGTGACCTGTCAAACCTTGAAAGAATTTTCTTTTTATTTGAATCCTTGAAGGAGGCAAATTCACTTGCTGTTCTACCTTGTAGCTGGGATGTCATAAAGCATGATGAGATTAATAAAAGATTATGAGTTCCCCAGCAACTGTTTGGGTCTTACACTAGGGTCATCATATCACACAAACTATCAGAAAAACAAGGATTATTGAGTAATCTGATGACCAATTTCCTATTTCACTTAGAATCACCCAGGGAAAGACTCTGACTTTGTTCTCTCAAGGGCACCTGGTTTTAAACTGAAGCAGGAAGCTGACCCTTCTGTTGCCACCAACACAAATCCCAAGCCTGCTTCCAGAGCCAGGCCCAAAGTTACTTTGTGCCTACTCGTGTTTCTGGTCCATATACAAGGGGGAAAAACAAAGGCAAAAAGGGCAATGTTATCTTCACGAATCATGAGCCTTCTTCAGCTAAACTTCAGCTCCTCAAGCCAGCAGACAGAAAAAAGGGAGGCTGTTTGTTCAGGTTCTTTTCTTCTGATATGGCCACACCATCTCTTTTTGCCAGTTTTCCTCCAACCACCTTCTCCTACACAGGCAGAGGAGACTAAAATAGGAATGACATACTAAGAGTTTTTGAAACGCCATTCTCCGTTCCAATTAAAAATTGCAAGTGCAAGGAATACAACTATGGTTACTATTTATATTGCTGCTCTCCACAAATGAGACAAAAATTTTACCTTGTTACAACTGTGTTCCTGAGGGGGTGGGGAAGCACATTAGTTTTCAGAAATACTGTATTAAAAAAGCATATGAAACTACATTCTAACTATAGCACTACATTTAATCTTGACCAGCTCAGTGTTTGAACAGCATTCTGCTAATTCACCATTAACGCTCTTTGTGCTACTACTGGCTAATTGACTATTTATTGGCAGAAAAACTAAGGCAAAGTTGTAATTCTCAATTTAGTCAAGCTGACCAGACGAGAGAAAGTCAAAAGGCTCCATGCCAAAAACTACCTGCCAAAACTAAACACCTCTTTTGCTGGGTGAGAAATAAAGAATTCCCTTTCTCCTGTATCTTGTGCATTTTTAAGGGTTGAGGGGCAGTGTGGTCCAGTGAATGAGAATCCTGGACTTGGAGTTAGGAGGACCCGAGTTCAGATCCTCCCTGTGATACCAGTTATAAAATGACCACAAGCAAGTTACAGTTTGAGTCCCAGGAAACTCTCTAAGATTCTTTTTTTTTTCTTTTTTGGCTAGGCAATGGGGTTAAGTGACTCGCCCAGGGTCACACAACTACTAAGTGTCAAGTGTCTGAGGCCACATTTGAACTCAGGGCCTCCTGACTCCAAGGCCACCTAGCTGCCCCTCTCTAAGATTCTAAGTCATAGTTTGTTGGTAGAGGGAGTTTCCAAACCAATAAAATCAACAGTCCTTGACACATATGTGAGGGTTAAGTGAAGAGGTTAAATACATGTGGCCATCATACTCTAATACTCCAATGGATGTCTTAACAATGTGGGTATTTGCTCTAACAACAAAGCATCTATGTCTGCCCACCCTTTGAGACTCTTGTTCATATCCCCCCATAAGTCTACCACAAGGAGTTCACCCAATATGCTGATGGCCTTCTCAGATAGAAGTAGATAACTATTGATCCATCATTTCTTGATTTCATTACACTACTGGCCCATTTTTTAAAAATTATCTTTTATTTATATATCATTTTCATTTTAAAATATATTCCTCTTGTCCTTACCAGCAGAAAGCCATCCCCTTTAAGAATTTTTAAGTCATTTAGCCAAATTAACCAACATATAACAAAAGCTACTGATACATGCAATTTTTCATACCTACGATATGGGTACCTACCCCTGCACAGAGCGGAAGAATTTTCCCATCTCTTTGGGAGCAAGCTTGATCACTATGAGACAGGTTTGGGGTTTTATTTTCCCCCTTTGCATTAGTGTCATCATTGTATGTATTGTTTCCCTGGTTCTGCTTACTTCACGTTGCAACAGTTCATATGTCAATGTATTCTTCTGATTTGTTTCTCATAGCATAGTAATATTCTCTTACATTTATGTACCCTAATTTCTTTAATTAATGAATGCCTGTCACGCTTTTTTGCTACTGCAAAAAATGATGCTATCAACATTTTTATGTATGTGGAACCATTCTATATTTTATCTCTTTGGGAATATATGCCTAATAGTGGGATCTTTAGGTTAAAGTGTATGGATATTTGAATCACTTTCTTAGCAAAATTCCAAACTGCTTTCCAGAATGATTGGTTCAATTCACAACTCTACCAACACTATATTAGTGTCTGGCCTTTCTTCATTTTTGGTCATATTTCTCTGATGTATAATGATGTGTGTTTGTACATGTGTGTGTGTGTATATACAGACATATTATATATATATATATATATATAATGATAATAGCATAAAGAAGAAATAATTTTTTAAAAAATTGGTCTAAAAGAGCTGCTCCAAGCATTTTTCTAGGCATCCTAAAGTTCTTCTATTTCACTGGGATACCTATGGCAACTCATTCACAGGCAATGTTTGTATGCTGAAAGGACCCTTGGATATCTAAGTGAATTCTCATTTTACAGGTAAGAAAACTGAGGCCCAGAGAGGCTAAATGACATGTCCCAAGATCACATGACTAAGGAGAACTGGAACCCTGTTCTTAACTCCAAATCCAGGGCTCTTTCCACTTACATTCTGCTGCCTGTTATCTGACTCAAACTTACCTTTCAGTGTTAGTCCACATCACATAAGCCATTGCAGAGTCTCCTCCTATGTTTCAACAACCAACACACACCTTTTTTCCTTCCCTAGTTGGAAAATGGCTTCTGAGATATATGCTCCCCACAGAGCAGTAGTTTAGTTTGAAGAACTGGTAATTTGCATCCAAAACACTTCTGTAGGAATATATTGTGGAATGAACATGGATTTGAGTCTGGGCAAGTAACCTAATCTCTCTGGGCTCCAATTTCTTCATCTATTTAAAAAAAAAAAAAGGTGGGGACAGGAGTTGGATTAAATAAAATTTAAGGTCCTTTCAGTTTCAAATCCATGATCCTATGATTCTGCATCTATCATGCTCCCTCACTATCAACTGCTAGATCTAAGACTGAGAGGCAGCAAGTCGACACTGAAAAACACCACGTCTTACACAGCTCAACTTGTCATCTGATTAGGTTGTCAGCTTGCCTGGACTGTTCGATTACCAAGAATCCCTCAAGGATGCACCAGCAGAGACCTGCAGTGACAGCTCCTAAGTGGTTTAGGAATTCACACGTTCTTTGGCTGAGTGCTGACAAAGGAAGAACAACTTGGGAGTTGGGAAGAGAGGGGAGCTCTTCCTGGAGGAAGTGTCCCATCCCCTACCCCCAAGAGCAAGCTGTCATCTCTGTGACCTGATAACGATCTTCTTAAATTTAGGGCAAGCTGTCCACTGATTTAAAAAAAAAAAAAGAAGGAAAATTCTATTTACACAAATATAGGCACTTTTCATCAAAGGTAGAACTCTCTGGAAAGGTTAAAAAACAAACAGCTTCACCAAAAAGCCGTTTCAAATATGTTTATTCAGGAGGCAGTTTTCACACTTTAAGAAGTCATCATGCCAAACAAAATAGTGAGCAAGTGAAAAGGAACTCCTTTAAATGCTAAATACTTTGATATTATTCCCTTCTCCTGCCTACCCCCTCTAAAGTGTTAGTCCAAAATAGTATTTCTTCCCTTTAACAAAACTGTTCTAACTGGTAAAAGCTCACTCCAATTTCTTAAAGACCCTAAGTAAATGATTTTACAAATTTGGCATAGTTCCTAGCCACCTGTTTCCATTTTGAACATATGAAAATACAGTTAAATGGATGAGCAATCAACCACTTTGGGGCTAATGTTCTCCTGGGGCACCTCCACAGTAATGTTATTGCTGGATTTCTTAAGAAGAAAGGGCGACCTCACATGGCCAGATGTATTACAAAGCAGAACAAGCTTTTTTTTCTTCCTGCCCTGAGGAAATATTTATGAAACTGAGTTGAACCACTTTGGAAATTTAATTTGGAATTTTAGTGATCTGCTACAAGCAAAAGGGAAATGGTAGCATTTAAACTGTAATGAATTTGCCTATTTCCAAAGCAATAGCCCAATTTACCCCTTATCTGCTTTCCTCTTCTTTAATGTCAAATATTCCATTCATGGCTCAATAACCCTCTATTTGGAAAAAGCCATATATCCTCCCTCACCCTTTCCTGTTTCCTTTCAATTCTTACAGCCTAATTATTTCATGTAGAATACGCAGCAGGAGAAGGAAGATTGCATGTAATATGTGGCACACAAAGAGCAAGACCCAGAGGAGGGCCATACACAGAAATCCCAGATGTTTTAAAGCAGGGTAATCAGAATTCCAATTTCGTAAGATTTGCCTGCTAGAAACAGTACTGATTCTAGAATCTTGGTAAAGAAACAGTCCTCCTAGAACTGATTCTCTCAAGGGGTCATTAAAGGAAAACAGATCATAGGATTTAGAACTGGAAGGGACTTTTACTAAGGTCAAATTAACCTCCTCTGGACCGTAGAGGCAGTCTTCATAGTCAAAGATACCTGTATGTCCATTGAGATGCATGAATTTTGATATGTATCCTATTTCTCCACAAATTTGAACTAAATCCCTATCAAAAACTAGATTTCTTCACCAGAAAAATATTAATGGGAACTACTACTTGTTCCAATTTTCAATCCTTTCATCTCTTCATGTCTCTAACAGGACAACTGAGTACTCTTCATTCCCTGTAAACTGTTCCAACATTTACAATTGAACATTACAAAAAAAATGACTTCCATTTTTGTAATTTTAAAAAGCAACTGAAAGATGTAGTGGCCCATCTTAAGACAGATCACTCCTACTTTTGTCTGCTTTGCCTTTCTCTAGTAGCAACACTGAAGCCAATGAGCTTGAGCTGCTTGTGAGGTTGCCCAAAGCAGTAACACCCAGAAGTTGCAGGGCCATAACCATGCAGAATCTAACAGCCCCTGGTTACTTCTAAAACATCATCTCCATTCCAGCTTTAAGTACTGCAGTAAACAAGCAGGTCATCTTGTTCCTGTGTTCCAGCTGCAGTGGCCTGGTGGGACGATGCACTGAGATGCTTGATATCACTGTATTCATACTAAATCAGGGACTCAGCAGAGTTAATTTAAACAAACAGTAGGTGGGTTCATCCAAATAAACTCGGGGCCTCACACACACCATTACTGCTAACAAAATCATTCATTTCTGAGGCCTGCAATTTCATTTCATCACCAAATACAGAACAGATCACTGGTGGGAGGTTTCAGTGGATGCTGACTAAATAATTTTGTGTTATATTTAGTGAACCACAGATCTATGGCCTGACACCAACAGATAAACTCTGAAATCATAAAAACTTGTACTGAATTAAATCAGGGACAGTAAATCCATTTTAAGGCTTTTCATTCTTTGGAGAATTCTTTGGGTCATAAAAATCATTCAAATCATTTACAAAACGCATTCAGATTTTCCCAAATTATCTGTTGCCTAACAGGCCTAAAAAAAGAATGCCTTTTAAAGAAGGCATTGCTATTAAATATTTACCCACCAACAGTTTTGTAAGATTGGTCTCTTCATTGACTTGGAGTCAAAAGACCTGGATTCAAATCCCAGCTGTCACTCACTAGCTGAGTAACCTTGGACAAGCCTTAGAATCCAGTTTCCTTTAAAGTCCAGGTACCATCTTAAAGAAGCTTTTTTTGCATCCTCTTACCTTGGTGCTCTCTCCCTCCTCAAATTAAACATATTGTGTGCTTTACTTAACTGTTTACATGTCTGTATTCCTTAGCACAAGGAAGCTCCTTGAGGGCAGAGACCAATTTTCATTTTTGTCTTGTACCCACATTAGCATGGTTTCTTGCACAGAGTAGGCACTTAAATGCTTGCTGAATTTAACTGAAAGTCAGTTAGCCTTTATGGACCTCAGTTTCTTCCTCTGTAAAACTGGGACTGGGGAAATGGTAGGGTTAGATTATTTGGTGTTTTAAGGTGCCTTTCAATTCTAAATCCTATGATCCATCTTGGGATGTTTCAAAATGAAAGGGTTTTTTTTTTTGTTTGTCCAGGGTTTCTTTTGGGACAAGGGGGATGGAGAGAGGAGGGGAAACTAGTCTAAAGAATGAAAATTAACTGAGATGCAAAGAAATGTTTTTATTGCAAGCACAGTGAGCAGAGGAAGGTATCTTCTCACACAGAGTGGCTGAGCAGTCTGCCAGTAACTAAGTCACTTTTCCAACCCTTCATTGGTTTTAAAGCATACGATTTTGCTTATTGCTATCAGGTGTACATCATTTCTGCCATATGGGACATTTTCTTGGGAATATACAAGTAATATTCCATGTAGCCGGAAAGATCTTCAATAGTTACATCATCCACATAGGCCCTAGCTTGCTCAGAACACGAGCGAGGTGAGCCAGATGGAGTTCTGGTATGGAAAGACTGCGAGTAGTCCTCGAGGGTGGATCTTCGTTCTGGTGCCAAGGGAGGGACATTCTGCAAGCCGGAGAAGGAGTAGACTTCCATGTCTTGCCACCTCTTACACTGGCACTCCTTGCCTACACATGCACATGGCTTGCCCAGGTTTAGCTGGGATACTGATTGAAAGTCAGAGAGATCACGGGCCTTGAGACTCGCTTGGGAGGCCAGGGCAGCATCAGGGGAATCTTCTTCTGTTTTGCCTTCTGATGCACCATCAGGAACCGTTGCCCCCAAGGGCTCTTTCACAGCTCGTGTGTGATTAGCCTCACTAAGAGAAGAAATAGAGCATTCCCTTGCACTGAACTCGTTAGTGGGTAGAATCCCTAGGTGGCTATTGCTGTCAGGACAGTCAGTTTGGCTTTTGTGTCTGAGCTGACTGGTGGAAGATGCAGCCTTTGTACTGCAGTGTATAAACTTTGGAGGATGAAGGACTGGAGACTTGGAACGCCGACGACGCTGGGTTCTCACTACTCCTCGTGAAGCCTTTCTTGTAGAACTGAACAGAGAAAGCACAGAAGATGATATTTAGGTGAAATACAAAAACCAGGAGCTAATTAACTTTCTAGACTATTTTTTTTTACCATACTTAACTAGTAGGTAAACAACATAATGTGATTTCACTAGAACACAATTAAGTGTACAAAATCTAGATTCAATATAGAGGCACATATTATCTCTTAAGTATGACCGCAACTATTATTGCTTTAAACAGATTTTTAACTACCTTTTCATTTTTATGGGAAAAGTCTCAATCCTGGGAAAAATACACTATTATCTCTTAGTTTAATGAACTTAGCTTTGACTAAAAGGAATCTGTAAAACAATATTCTTACCTGTGCCAACTGTCTTTAGATGCACACATGGTTTTAGGTTTGGTCTCCTCTGTAGCTGTCCTAACTGACGCTCGGGCACTTGCTCCCTCTCCAACACAAAGGGAAGCCATGGATCTAGAAGATGAGCATAAAGACTGTGGTCACTACATAGAGACATCTCTAAAGGAGTTTTCAAATATTTCTGAAAGAGTCTGATCTCTTTCCTTGTGCAATTTAAAATGGTCTACCATTAAAAATCTCTAGACAGCTAAGAAACATACAGATACTAGCATAGTCCCTTACGTGGAACCTTAGGAAACTTTTTTCTCTACTGCTTGTCACAGTTAAGTTTTCAGCTAACAGGAATATGACTAGATTCCTCAACAGAGTAATTTGTGCTACATAATTTTATGAGACTTCTTTAGTTGGTTAAAATGACAATCTAATTCCTCTGACAAGTAGTCAGCTCTGCCCTGCTCACCCTCCCCCCAAACCTTTACCTTATCAAATAACTTTTTAATGGTTTTAGTTTATACTTACCAAAAAACCTTTTTACAGAAATTCTTCCCCAATCCCCTACAAAAGGAAGGCTCCCAAAGGTCCTCAGTTTTTAAAGCCATAAATCAAAGTATTAAGTCCTAAGTATAACCAGCACTGGACTATTAATAGGCTTTTAGATTGTTTATCTGGGGCAGATCATTCTTCACGTGGGGGAGAATGTAAATGAAAATGAGTATCTTTCGTTGGTAAGCCAGATTTTCAATATAATTATCTGATCTTCAGAATCAAGCTTCTGAAAGACTTAATACAACCTGGATTATGGACTAGTTCCAAATCTCCAACTTTCATTAAAAAACAAAAACTATATTTTTTTCTAATAACAGAATCTCAAAAATGTGCACATTTTAATCTCACCATAGAATTCAGGGCTAAATCATATCCATTTAAAAAAGATAAAAAGATATATTTTAGAACAATGCAATGGTGATCAATGTCTCCAAAAAGAGAGATTACATTTTAGTGGATCTACGATCTTGTCTATGATCTCTCTTCAACAGGTATACTGCAACAGGTCCATAGCTTCTAATCCATGGCTGTCTATCTTCCATCGGAGGTCTAGTCAACAGACTGAAGGTCTTACTCTAGGTCTTTATCATGGGAGTTCAGTGCAACTTAAGTTGTTCATATGCTATCCTTCATTCTCAATAAATGACTAGTCAGGCTTTTTTTCCAAACATATATCTATAAGGTATTTTTTATGCTCTATCTTGCCCATAAGTCATCCTTGGTACTATGTTACAAATTATTTATGTATAGTGTAAGTCCCTCCATTGTCTTTAGTGTCACCTGAAATTTTGATGTCTTTGGATAATGTGATATAGCATGATATGAACTAAGACAGCACCAGAAGACCTAGCGTTGAAAAGATGGATTTTTGTTTTCAGGAGAAGCTTGAGATTGCTGAAAGCACTGTACAAGTACTCAAATGCAACTTAATCCACTCTTTCCCCTACTCACTTCTGAGCTTAGCTCATCATCCATCTGCAATGTCTATCCAAGACTTAGGTACTGATGGACAAACTCAATCCATCTCATTACATATAGTCTAGACCAGTGGTATCAAACTAAGAAAGAAACAGATTCTTGGGAGTTGCATGTTAACTCAGAAAACCACAAATTAACACTATATTGTATTGTATTTTTATTTATTTTGTTAAACATTTCCCAATCACATTTCAATCTTCTTCAGGACTTCCTAAGGAATTTGGGCAACAAGTCTGACACTTATGGTCTATATAACAGCAATCTTTGCGCACCTGGTTTTTCCTATGTGTGTTGTTAGGCCAAGCCCTTCAGTGGTTTTAGAATTCATTTAGAGGTATCTGTGATATTCTTAAGACTCGCTAAAATCAGCACAACAATATCCACAAATAGGGGTCATCTGAAAAACACCATCTATAGACTCCCTCTTCCACTTATGATGTATATCCTCCATGATTTTCTATTTATTCCTATGTTCTATGTGTTTTATATTGATTATCAATGAAGAACTGACCAGAATTATCTTTGCTGTTATCAAGGTATCTTGTATGAGTCTAATCTATGCATGGGAGACACTTTGTTGGAGAAAAGTCTTTAAGGAAGTGTTCTGCTCTACACAGCAAATGGTTTTTAGAAATAAACAATAAGACACAATGGGATCTTATATTTGCCAAAGTTTTTCAGTCAACTATGTGACTATAAGAAGGTGTAAAATATCATTTGTTAAAGCCAGTCTGTTATGATCTCCTATTTTCATCAAGGACACCTTCAATACATGCGTAGATTATTCTCAAAGATTTTATAGAGCTGATAAACTAAGCATATGGGTTGGCAACCATCATACTCTCAACTACTTTTTTTGGTCATAATGGCACCTATGGTTTTCTCCCCTAATCATGTATCTTCCCTTCTGTTCAGCTATCTTGGGACTCAATCCCTCCTTACCCTCAAAATTACACTGAATCCAAGGCAGATTTCCTCAATTTACACTGTGTCTGCTCCAACACACAAGGTCTTCCTTAATGCCATTTCCACATTCTCATTTAGCAAATTGGAGGCTGAGATGATGAGTCCAAATTTGGTGGGGTTCCACTATCACAGATGAAGAAAATCGCTTATGATAGAAATGCTGACAGATCTGCTCCATTTTTCACCTGCTGTCTTCCTTCAAATTTCATTTTTAAATGCCCTGGGATGATCTTCCTTGACTGGGTTTCAGGCTAAGCTCTCTGAAATTTTTTTCTCTCTACCACTTCATGCCATTTAATGAGATGACACTGTTCAAATTCCTATTGACCTCTTTCATATGGTTTTGTAAACGAATTTATATTCTAAACTACTGTTTCCTCTGACTGTCATCTATCCCTGCTTGGTAAGGAGATAAAGTGTTTGCTGACTGAGGAGATTTCTGCATACTTTTGAAAACTTCCATAAGAAATGGTGATAAACTACTGTCAATCACTTTTCCTAGTTCTAGCTCCCATTCTTTAATGTCAATAAATCATGTGACTAGGTCACATAACTGCATCTCATCTTTATCCCTTATTCAAATTTGGTATTGATTTTAATCTTTGTTCTAATAAACTGACATTCTGACTGCAGAGAGACATCTGATTCTGAAATGACTTCCCGGGTGGTATCTGATTATTTCCTATCTTAAAATACGGTCAATTTTATTTCTTGGGATCTTGTGCATTCCTCCAACTTTTTCTTTAAAAGACATATGTATATTTAAATATAAATAATATGTAGGTATAAGGTTTCTGAGGAGTATCCTGCCTCATTTCTTAAAAATGAACCATATTTCCCCACATATTTCTGACCATCTTTTCCATATATAACTTTGTATTAAAATTACTAGTTTGGAGGATATTAATGAGTTCTGCATAGAATTTCTCAATTTCCTCAACTTATGTTGGCCTATTACCTTCACAGTGGTCTTTTTATTACACTCATCATAAGCATGGAAAGACAAGATGATCAAATGTGCCATAAAATGATGTTTCTTGTTTTCTATGGGCACAAGCTAAAACCAACTTCATTATCTGCCTCTCCAAAAAAACCCTCTAAGTCTGCTTTCCATTTAGTTCTAATTTCTTTTTATCTTCTAGTTTCATTTATAGTGAGAATTTCAACATTCAAATAGTTCAATTCTGCCAGTAACATGCTGACTTATTAGTTTTATATCAGAATCTCACATTTCGGGTAACACCTATTAAAGTAATGATTAGAGTGTCTAAAAATTTTATTTTTCGAATCAAGAATGTTTATAACAAGATACCAGCCCAGATAAAATAGATTACCATTACAAACTAAAACAATCTGTTAGAAAGTATTGCATAATTTAAATATTTCTTAGGTTTATAAGAGCCACCTGGTACTTGCTAATGAATTAATCCCACAGATAACTTTATGTTATCTCACACCTTTATGTAGTGCTTTAGAGCTTACAAAACACTTTCCTCATAACAATCTTGTGAAAAGGGTAGTACAAGTATTACAACCTTATTTTAAGATGAGGAAACTGAAGCTCAAAGAGGTTTGTTTAAATTACTTGTTACAATTATCCAGCAGAGTTCGAATTTAAATTAGGTCTTCTGAACCCATGTTCTTTCCACAATACCATAATGCCTCAGTTCCTAAACCAATAATGACAAAAGAGGCTGGGAATTGCTGATGAATTGCTAGTATTCTCACTCTGCTTAGTCACAGTAATGACTCATCCTTTGTACTATTTAATATTCTCTTTCACATGCTCTCTTTTCTTCCTTTCCTACAAACATTTTTGAAATGTACATTTTTGATCATATTATATTATTACTTTTTAAAGGTTTCAAATGAATTGTTGGCAGTGATGGGGAGGAATCACAAAAGTAGCCTGCTTTAATATTTTCAGTTTTTTAAAGCACTATAAAAGATGACTTTCTACACATAAGAACACTGCATTGCCTTTCATGATGATAGCTCAATGGAAAAAAAATTCACAGCAGAATTACTAATTTTAAGAGTTAAGGGAAAAATGACATATACTTGTTAGGTTTTGTTTCATGAAGATCTAAGGATTTCAAAATATGAATATTCTTGTGTGGACTCAAATTCTTTCTGATTTTAGATTTCATCAGTCCAAATAGGAAGCTGTTGCCATGTAAATAAACTTACTACCTTCACACCAGCTTAGCTTACATACAAAAAAGAAGTATAAAGATGTCAGCCACTTTACAGATTTGATAAGACCCAAGTATAGCCTCTAAATTAGTTAATAAATTGCCTGGTTTTCCAATATTGTTTATAACCATAGAAATAGATATTTATATAGGTTCACATAACTGAGATCTTTCTATCCACATTATGATTTTCACTTTTCTACATAAGAATACATTTAGGAGCACTTTCTGTGAATGCAGAATTTTGAAAATGTCTTTCTTTGCTAAAATCAAACCATGGTTTGGCAACAAGGAAAAACAAGTATTGTTCCCCTCATTTCTCTCTGCTGCTAACAAAATACCAAAATAGTAGTAAAACAATCAACCTAAGAAGGGTCCTTATTTGGGGTATCATGGAAGTGAAAAATGAATACTTCTGGAACAAACATCTGTCATGAAATCCTCTTACTAGGCTAGGGTAATGACCAAACCACAAGCAGCACTGACAGTAAATTTCATATAAACACATACCTGTTGCTAAGTGCTCTTGTTTTACACTTCCAAGAAGGAAGCCTCAAAATCAAAAGGAAAATCCTAATTACTAATAAAAATTTGGGATTTTCTCCCTTATTTGGATGGAGAATGAGGATATACATGACATACTGAAAAGGTCAAGATATTAAGATTCAGTGAGCAGCTGGTCTGCAGGTGCACTAATTACTCAGACCAAAGGGTCCAAGATTATTGATCTCAGTGACAGAACCCTACTGAATAGGTTTCCATAGTGATCAGCTCAGCAATCAAGGTCCATGAAATCTGTAAGTCTTTAAAGATTTCTATTGAGCCAATTCAGTTTTAGTGAAAGATCCTATGATTCCTCTGAGATATTCAGGTTAAATTCATCTCAGAACTTGCTGGGATTTTATCTAATAATTTTCAATTTTAAAAAAATTCCATAGCAAAAATAAAGCAATTCATAGTGAAAGACAAGCAAAACACTCAACTCTGAAATGTTTTAAGGAATAGCATGCTACCTTTCAGATTTAATGTGAGCAAGATGGCAAGGACAGGCAGACTGAATAATTTTCACCTTTTGATAGCTAAAATTTTGCTGGCAGACTTTGGCTAGATACTGCATCATGAGAAGAATATGCATTAATTTCTTAATGATTTGAGATATTACATAGAGGACAGAAAGTCGTCTAAGAAAAGATGCCATTTAAATACAATTAATGAAAAATTCCCAAATATCATATCACATATTTACCCTGCTGCGTCCACCCTTAGCTTCTTGAAAGCTGTCTGCAGACTCTCTTCTTCTCCATCCTTGGCTTCAGATTTCATTGTGGAAGTTGCTTCACCGTTATGGTTGTTATCTGTTAATGCTGAAAATAAAATTAAAAAATTATTTTAAAAAAAGGACACAGGCTCCATAATATAATATTTCCATATGGCATTTCTCAGGGGGGAATTCTAGTATGAAGAAAAGTATTTTTGAAAGGCAATTTCATGGTAAAATACTGGGAAATAGCAGGCAGGAACCAAAAATTAAACATTTAAAATATGCAATTTTTTAAAAACTAAAATCTATTTGATGCCAATATCCTAAGAGCTGGGCTTGAAGAAATAATTATCTCAATATCTTTGATTTTTGGTTTACCTGCTAACAGGAAAAGAAAAAAAGCTTCCTCTTTTTGAAAGGGTCTAGGTACCCTACAAATACACTAATCTTTAGATCAGAAATGAATTGTATATATGTGAGAACAAGGGGAGACTGGACTGCAAGCTAGAACACTTGGATTTTAAGAAATGCTGTTCTGTTTCCGACTGGTCTAACACTTATCTCCAACTTAATATAACCCTATGACATAAACTATTCTCCTCCTGAAGTACCCACTTAAGTACTTCCTAACCTACACATTAATGTTAAAAAAAAAATGTGCTTCAGAGTATAAGGTATCATTAAACCAAGATTAAAGCAGGTAGAGTTAGAAAAATAGTTCCATGATTACTGATGTATTCCATATAGTACCTAGATGACTGATACCTAGTCTTCCATATCATATATAAGACACTTCTTGATTTCAACATACAAAACGTCCCACTTTAGAGCAGTAAAAATAGGAAAAATGTAAAAAAGAGTCACTTAATAAGGGTTCAATCTACATGCTATATTTGTAAGTTAATGTGAAATTTTGTATAACAGAAATAGGCAAACTACTATCTACCTCCAAAGAATAGGAATACAACTAAAAAACACACACAGAAACAAAACAGGTCATTCTTGAAAAAATAATTCTCTTTACCTATCTCTTCATACTGTTCCCTTCTCCATTCTCATGTCTCTTCCTGCTACCCCACCAACTTCCCCCTTGGTTTTTCTAATTTCACATCTGCTCATTTCTCAGTTTGATGTTATTATGAAACTTCCAAAGACTAGAGGTGTCATAATATATTTGATACATTACCATACAAAGAGGCGGAGTCAGAGAACGATTATTTTCACTTAATTGTTGAGAATAGGAATCAGAGGATGGCACTGCAAAACAAGTTTCATGGATACTAAGTTGATCAAGAAAGGCCAGTATTGCTTTATATTTACTTTTAAAGTGTCCATCCACATCGGCACTTCAGGCAGGGAAAATATGCTCAGAGAAGTCAGCCATATTTCATCCCAACTTCCCAACAGAGATGTAAATATTCTTTCCTTTGACCCTGAATCACACCCAGGTTTACAAACACAGACACACCCCTCTCATCCTACTCCATACTTTACAGGTCCTTCAAATTCTAGATCTACAGAATAGCCCAAATACATAAATTAACTATCTTTGTTTAAAGCTTTTATTGAGGGTAGAGACTTTTACTACTGTGGTATTCTCCACAACAGTAGTGTCAAATTCAAATAGAAATGGGAACCACTGAACATTACGTAAATATACCTGTGGGCCACATATTGATTTTGAAAACCATATATTAACATTCTATTATGTTTTTATTTATTTTGTTAAATGTTTCCCAATTAAACTTTAATCCAGCTCAGTCCCAAGCCCCAAGGAGTGTTGAGGGCCCTGTGTTTTCACACCTCAGCTCCACAGCAGCTATAAGTTATATGTAGATTATAGATGTTCATAAAAATACAAAACCAAAAACCTACCAGTTTTTCTTAACTCCAAATCCATGATCCTTCCATTACAATGCAGTGATCTGTGTAGAACATGATAGCCAGTGGGGACACACACAAAAAAAATAAGTGAAAGACTATGCTCCCGTTCTTTAAAAGCTTCTAATCTAACACTATGCAAAATAAACTTCCACAGATTTCCTTCACTTCCTTCCCAGCTCTTGAACTCTGAGCCATAAATAGTGATAAAACTTCTGATTCTTACCCAAACTAGGCATGGTGCTAAACTACTGGCTCTACACATGTAAGCTGATTGTTTAAAAAAGCATTCTTTTTAAGAGCCTTTTCAAGAGCTGACAGACTTAAATTTCTATTCTAACAAAACAGCTTCCATTTGTCCCAAGAATTTAAAATGAATACTTCAACTATTTTCCAATGTCCAGCATCTTCCTCATACTGTTTCTTTTTTTAGATCAAAGTAGTTAACCTTTACCCTATAGGGTTAATCCCCCTTAACTCTAGTGCCCTCCCTCTAAGATTATCTCCAATTTATCCTGTATACAGCTTGTTTGTACATAGTTGTCTGCATGCTGTGTCTTCCATTCGACTGTGAGCTCCTTGAGGGCTGACACGGTCTCTTGACTTTCTTTGTATCCCCAGCATTTAGCACAATGCCTGGCACATAGTAGACACTTAATCATAGCTTACTGACTAATGACAGATCAAAGTATGTCAAAGTTGTAAAAGGCTTTATTAGACAATATGGTATTTTTTCTTGCCTAAGAGCTGTACAAGCTAACTGGGACAAAGCTGGGATTAATTTTTGGTATGGGTTGCTTCAAACTCCCCACAATTCGCAATCAAATTCTCCAGAAACAAAATTTTACAATTTTGTTGCTATTTTTTAAAGCACAGACATCTCTTTAAGTTGACCAGTTCCATGAGAATCCGAAGTTAATTCAGTTCTGCGTAAATTCAGCATCTTCCCCACCCCGACCCCATCTTTCCAAAATCACAAGATTTGTAACTGTAAGGGTCCTTGGAAATCATCTACCATCTAATCCAACTCTTTCATTTTACGGATGAGGAAATTGAGGCAGAGGTTAAATGGCATGTCCTACGTCTAGCTGAAGCAGAATTCAATCCTAGCTTTTCTGACTCAAAATCCCACCTTTTTTCCACTACACTAACAGTGCCACCTAAACTATGACGAGTCCAAGCATCTTTAAGTACGTCAGTCCTAATTTCCTCTACTTTTAAGGGACATTGATACTTTGACACTCTCAGTCTACTCCTTTAACCTTTCCGACTAACAACAAACAGGCAGCGAATCCACCAGCGCCTGGGCCTCGGTAAAAACGGAGAATTCCCCTATTACAAACTGAGACACTCTTACAGAACCTGGGAGACGTGGAGGATAAAGATTGCAAAGCCATCCCTCAAACTCCCACTTCATCCAGAAGCACAAAGTGGAAACAAGCAGCCCTTAAAGACAAAATGCCACACTGCTCAGCTCGGAAAGAAGTCAACACTCCCGGTGTCGGGAATTTGCAACAGGTCCGGGGCAGAGGGCCGGACGAGGCCGGCACATCCCGCGCCCTTTCCTCATCCCGAGGCCGCCGCCCAGAGGGTCCGACAACAACACGGGGCCCGGGCGCCCCTGCTGCGGCGGCCCCGTCCGCGCTCCAGGCGCCCGGGAGCCGGGGTCCGGCAAGGGCTGGGGGCGGGTCGGAGGGCAGTGAGGGAGAAGAGAAAGGGCGGGAAGAGGCAAAGGGCAGCCGCCGCGAAGGGGAAGCTGGCGGCCGAGAGGGGCGGGACGGGGGCAGAGCTCGGGGCTGAGGAGGCGCGGGCGTGAAAGGGAGCCGACGGCGGACGCGCCGGGGCCGGGGCCGGGGCCGGGGCCGGGTAGGCAGGAGGGCCGAGGGGATGCCCCCAGCTCCCGGACAGCCGGAACGGCCGAGCGCGGCCGAGGGGCCGCCCAGGAAGCGCGGGGACACGGCCCCAGCTGGCGGACGAGAGGACGACAGCCCCGTCGGCCGGAGGGCCAGGCCCGACCCGGCCCGGGGGCCGGCCCAGGGCACGGCGGGACAGGGCCGGACAGCGACCTCCTGGTCCCTGCCCAGTCAGACACTCACCTCCCAGCGACAGAGGAGGTTGCCCGATCCGGTCCAGTGGGCTCCGCTCTTCTCCCAGACCCAGGGCCCGGAGACCCGGAGCCTAAGCGGTGTGAGGGGCGCCCAGCGCCACTGTCCTCTCCCACTGCGCTTGCGTCGGAGGGACCGCAGCCCCGCCTCCGCTCCTGCTCGTCCCACCCTCGTGACTCGGCAGCGCGCGGACGGCGGGGAGGGGGGCGGGGAAAATCAAGGGCCAACGCGCAAGCGCACTTAAGAAGCACGTGCGGATGACATCACTTCCTGTTATTCTTTCTCTTTCCCCCTCCCCCTTCATCTCTTCCAGTTTTCTCTGTCTTCCCCAGGCCTCTTTTTTTTTTTTCTTTAGCGGGGTGGCCTTGGAGATTTGTCTTTCTCCTACTTCTTCCCCACTAAGAGAAGGCAGTTAGCGTTCCTTCCTTCTCCCTCGCCTCCCTCTCTCAAGCCTCTTCCTTGTAGTCTCCATGGCAACCAGGCTCGGACTTGGTGCCTCTACCTGGGGTCACTATGGTAACGAGACTCGAACTTGTCCATCACGGGGATTGGGGGGCGGGACGGCAAGGAGGCTGCGTTTCTATGGAAACGGAGGTTGGACCTGAGTCCCGGGGAGGAGGTCGCCATGGAGACGAGCTCAGCCATGCCCGCCAAGAAGACATCGTATCAGGACGAGGCCCTTTAGGTGCCAGCGGGGGAAGGGAAGGAAGCGGTGGGTTCTGGCCCGACTGCTTTGAAACTAAACGAAGAGGAATGGGAATGGAAAAGCTATAGAAATAAGAGTTGTTATTCAAGCTTTCCTTTCCCTGTCACTGTACAGTTTATAAAGCCTCAACAATCCTGTGAGGTAAGTCATGCAAGTATTCTTATCCCCATTTTACAGATCATAGGATATTTAGAACTGGAAGGTACCTTAAAGATCATACAGCCCAATCCCCTCGTTTTACAGATAGGAAAACCGAACTTGGAAAAGAGATGTGGATCGTCCAAGGTCACTATGGTAATACTAAAAATATTTCCCATTGCTATGCAGTTTCTAACACTCACCAGCTCTGTGGGAATGAATGTAAGGATTATTATCTCCATTTTACAGATGAAGGAACTGAGGCAGAGGCAAAAACAACTGCCTATAGTATTTCAGCTAGTGAATGACAGAGCAACTGTACTGTCTAGTATTCTTCTAACTGTATAGCATTGGCCCCATTTCATGAAAATTGTCTGGTCATGCCCAACTCAGTGCTTGTAACTTGTGGCCATGAAGCTGGTTGAGAAGCTGTCTCTTGAATTTTGATCCTGGGTTTCACCCTTCAAGAGACAATTTGGTACAGTGAAAAGAACACAGATCTGGAAATAAGGAGTCCTGTTTTAGTTTTACTAATTAGGAGCCATGTGACCTTGAGCAAGTCATATATCACTTCTTTGTGTTTGACTTTCCTCATCTGATAAATGGAAATAGAAATCAATCACCTGCTGACTTCACAGAGGGAATGATAAGGTTCAAATGAAATAATGGACACAAAAGCACTTTGCATTGTACTATATGAATATGAACTACTGTCATCCCTGGAGTTTGTGAGATATATATATGTATATATGTGTATATATGTAGTGCATACATATGTATTGTGTATGCATATGTATATATATATATACACACATATATATATATATAAAATGAGATTCAGACCTTCACGAGAACATAGGATCATAGATTTAGATCCAAAAGGGACCTTAATGGGCTCCTTCATTTTATAGATAAAGAGAGTGCAGCCCCAAGATCTCACAGCTAATGAATGGAAAAGCCAGAATTTGGACCTAGGTCCTTTGACTCCAAATCTAGCATATTTTCCATTGTATCATACTGTTTCCCAACTAAAAATCAATTAAAGTAGTGAAGAGTGATGGATTTGGAGTCAGAAAATTTGGCTGTGAATCCCAGCTTCTTTATTTCTACCTGTAAGATTTGTAAAATAAGATGGTTTGATGAAATCTCTTAAGCCCTTTTCTAAAAACCTCTGAAGCCCATTTCTAAATTTATGAACCCATGAGCCCCAGAAAAGTTCTGTGACTTTCCCAGGGTCACAACTGGAAAATAACAGAGCCAAGATTTGAACCCAGTTCTTATGATTCTAATTCCTGTTCTTTTACACTACATCGTGTTCTACCTGCTATTCCTGAAGACAATTATTGTCTACTCAAATGACAAATGCCCAGGTGAAACATTCATGTTCTGGCCCAGCTTGGAAGTATGTGATAATTCATCATGGCATGGGGGTGAACCTTGATTCTTGAAGCAGGATGTGAGCAGAGCTCAAGTTCTGGCAGGTTCAACCAAGATGGAAAGGCTTTCAATGTGGTCCTGGTGACACTGCTTTCTGCATGAGGACCAGCCTAAGTAAATATAGAGAGGCTCCTGTATGACCTTCTTCTGCAATGAGAATAGTGGAAAACAGGCACAGGTTGCTAATAATCGCACAGTTTTTAAGTCATTCACAAACATTAATAATCTGTGTGTCTGCCCCAGGATCAACCCACATTATGTTCCCATAGGTACAGTGACCTTGCTGCAGGCTGAAAAGACAAATGTGGCTATTTCCTGATGTTCTCTGTACCATCTGAGTCCCTGCTCAGTGTCTGCCTAGGAATGAAATCACTGTTCGTTATTTGAGGTTTATTAGGTTCCCAGAATGTTATAGGTCCTGTGCAGAACATAAAACTCAGCTAGTTCATAGTGGATACTCTGTAATTTTTTATCCTCCCCCAACTGAATTAATTGAAAAGCACTAACTAAATCATATCAAGAAACATGGCATAAAAGGGGAACAAATGACAAATGTAGCTCAAGATTGCTTAGAAGCAGGACTAGAATGAAGAGTAGGAAAGATAGGCAACTGCTTAATTCACAGCATGTAGCAGGGGGCACAATAAAGAACACTCTTTAATGTTACTTTTATAAATTTACATGGTTTTAATGTCACAAAATCCTGCTCTCCACAACCCATATCAATTTAATGCTAAATCATATAGCTTCCCAGAAGTCCTGTTCCAACATCTCCTTGTGGTATGTAGATGACGTAGGATTTGTGAAGCTTAGGCCAATAGAGCAAAAGTTCTGGCTGGGTCAGCTAATCTCAAAAGGCTAAATTTATGTACAGTCTTAGTAACAGAATATGCCTCCTGAGTGAGGACCAGCTTCACTGAGTATGAAGAAATTCCATGGTATCCCTGTTCTTCTTTAAGTGTCAGTGGCAAGGTGTGCTAAGAATCACACAGTTTTTAACTCATCTGCAAAGTTTCTCAAGGTCACAGCTAGAAAGTAACAGAGTCAAGATTTGAACTCAGGTCTTATGATTCTAATCCTTATGCTGTTCCCTCTTACATCATACTCTACCTAAGATTCCTGAGGACAGTTACTGTTTGCCCACATGACGAATGCCCAGGTGAAACATTCTGGTGCTAATCCAGCTTGAAGGGTCGTTAATCTAACTATTCATATTCTAAATGCGAGGTCTTTGTTAATGAATACTTTGATACATTGTTGAGAGAGCTTAACCTCATCTATAGGTATTATCACCATAGATGAAACCAGAAATTCTATTACAGCTGAATGGAAAGACGATTCATAGGTTTGCCTCAAAGAAGCAAATAAAGGAATTGGAAGAGTTGGTTTCATTTTGCATCCAAAGGCTACAAAAACTTTCATTTCCTGAGCTACTGTGGTCATCTCACCTTGCAGAACTTGGTATGAGCATAGGCAAAATTGAGCACCATAAAGATAGATGCACCTTATATATCAAGATTTATTACAGAAGGTTGAAATAGATAATTCTACGCAAAACTTCATAAGATTCTTTTAGCCAAATTAACATGTCAATGAACAAGCAATTATTAAATACCTACTATGTAACTTTGGTATGTTGGGGCCTAGGGAAGGATAGAGAGAAATATGTTGGAAAATAAGATGCCAGAGCTTGTAAATTATTCAGGAGCCTCATGCCTATATCTCATAAATACTTTCTACTAGGAGGGTTAACAAGCATAAAAACTGACACTGACCATATTTTAGCAGATAGGAAGCAACTGGTTACCAACATGTGAGTCATTTCAGAACCAATTATTTGAAAGCACTCAGATCATCAACTGGTCAAACGTCAAAATTAACATGAAATTAGGAGAAAGGATAAAGATAGGAAAACATAGCTTGAAATTAAAACTTTAAGCCAACCTATTTAAACAAACTTGGCTCATAAAAATGGGAAGTGAATTTCTTAAAAATAAGAAATGGATAAAGGTAAAGACATTTGGCTAGTTCTTGGCGGTTTGCTTAGCCATAGAAAAATGGCAAATAGATAAGAATATATATTGACTCTGATTATCATAATTTCTTAGAAGTTTAATGGGTATAAAACAGTTACAGCAATGAAGAGGTCCAAAGATCATTCCTAAAACTTTTATGTGGAAACATTAGTTGCTCATGGATAGGTTGAGCCAATATAATAAAATTACAATACTAACTAAATTAATTTACTTATTCAGTGCCATACCAATCAAACTACCAAAGAATTGTTTTACAGAGCTAGAAAAAATAATAAACAAATTCATAAGGAGGATCAAAAAATCAAGAAACTCGTGGGTAATAAATGAAAAAAGTGATAAGGAAGAAGATCAGTACTAGATCTCAAGCTATACTATAAATTGGTAATTATTAAAATGATTTAGACTGGTTAAAAATAGTTTAGTCAACGGAACAGATTAAGTATATAGTATAAAGAATCAACATAGTAGTATAGTATTCTGTAAACTTAAAGATCCAAGTTACTAAGAGAAGACCTCGATATTTGACAAAAACTGCTAAGAAAACTGGACAAGTCTGTCAGGACTGCATTTGGACAGTGAGGTAAGGACCGCATTGACTCAACAATGAGACTTGATTACATTTAGGAAATTGCTTTCAGTCTTTCCAGCTTGCCCCCAATACAGAAGCCCATCATTTTTTGTGTCAGCGTCCTCCCATTGATGCACTGTGGTTGAGAATCATGGAATGCCACTCTTTAAGAAGAATCAAAATTCCTGGTAACCAAAATGACTATGGAAAGAAGTGTGATGATCCATAGCATTAT